CCTCCTCATCCTTCTCATCCTCCTCTTCCTTCTCCGTTTCCTCCTCCTCCTCCTCATCATCATCATCAGCAGCAGCATCAGCATCAGCATCATCATCATCAGCATCATCATCATCAGCATCATCAGCATCAGCATCATCATCAGCATCATCATCATCAGCATCATCATCATCACGAGCAGCAGCAGCATCAGCATCATCATCATCAGCATCATCAGCATCATCAGCATCATCATCATCAGCAGCATCATCATCATCATCAGCATCATCATCATCACCATCAGCATCGTCATCATCATCAGCATCATCAGCATCGTCATCATCATCATCGTCATCATCATCCCCCTTTCTCCTCCTCCTCCTCCTCCGCCTCCTCCTCCGCCTCCTCTTGCTCCTCCGTCTCCCTCCCTCCCTCCATCTCTCCCTCCCTTCCTCCCTCACTCCCTCCCTACCTCTCTCCCTCCTCCCTCCTCCCTTCGCCCTCCGCCCTCCGCCCTGCGCCCTCCTCCCTCCCCCCCTCCCTCCTCCCTCCTCCCTCTCCTCCCATCCGCCCTCCGCCCTCCTCCCTCCTCCCCCCTCCGCCTCCCACTTCCCCTCCCCCTCCTTTCTCTCCTCCACCTCCGACCATCCTCCCTTCCCCCCCCGTTTTGGGGTACGACGGCTTCCCCAGCCCTATATTCCATTGCGTACTCCTCCACATCCCTGATGAGAGCAGCTCGACTGGGCGTCGCTTCTGGGTGCGCTGGCTGCGTCAATACGCGAAGCGTCGACTAGTTGCGTTTTGGCCCTTCCCATAGGGTCTTAGTGGGGCCTCGACCGATCCCGCTGGCCGCGCGGAAGTTCCATATCCCACAGGTGTTCCCACGCAAGACGGCCCCGAGACGGCCTCCAAGACGGGCAAGGTGGCCCAAGTTGGCCTCCAAACTGCCTCCAAGACGGCCAAGATGGCCCCCAAGATGAGCTCCAAGACGGCCCCAAGACGCCTGCAAGACGGCAAAGGTGGCCCAAGACGGCCAAAATGTCGTCCTGACGGCCCAAGAGGCCCCCCAAAGACTCCCAGAAACGGCCATAAGAGGACCTCCAGGAAGCCATAATAAGTGATAACCCTGTGTTTGTTCAATGATGTCAGCATTCACGGATTTTCGGGCGTCGGACGCTCCAAGACGGCTCCATAAGCCCCAAAGATCGCCCCAAGACGTCCCAGGAGACCCCAAAAAAGGCCCGCAAGACGGTCCAAGAGGGCCCCAAGACGGCCCAAGAGGGCCCGAAGACGTTCCCATAGATCTCCAAGATGGCCCTCAAGCGCCCAAAGGGGGATCCACGACTGCCCAAAGAGGGCCCCAAGACGGCCTCCAAAGGCCAAGAAATCCCGTAAAGCCTCTTCAGAGGACCCCAAGAGGCCTCCAAGAACTCCCAGGAGGCCCCCTAAAACGCCCCTCAGGGGCTCCAAAGAGGCTCCCAAGAAGGCCCCGGGAGGCCAAAAGACGGCCTCAAGAGGCCTCCTCGTCCTCCTCCATCTCCTCCTCCTCCTCCTCCTCCTCCTCCTCCTCCTCCTCCTCCTCCTCCTCCTCCTCCTCCTCCTCCTCCTCCTCCTCCTCCTCCTCGTCCTCCTCGTCCTTCTCGTCCTCCTTCTCCACCCTCGCCTCGTCCTTTTTCTTCCTATCCACAAGTGTTTCCCCAAGGTTTCCGCAACGGCTGGGGGAGCACGTAGCCCGATAGCTTGATCAGACTTCGACCCAGAGTTTGGCCGCACGGGCTTTTCCAACAGGCAGGGGGCGGCGGTGATTCGCCGTAAGCGTCTTCGACACGATAGTATGCACGCTCACCGCGGGACGGACAGAAAACATGAGCACATAGAGCCACAGAAAGACGCAGAGACAGACAGAGAGACAGAGAGAAAGAAAGAGATAAAGAGAAATTATGGCATCGAAGAAAGAAAGAGAGAGAGAGAGACAACAAAAATAATGAGAGAGAGAGATGAGGGGGGAAAGGAAGACAACAACCAAAAAAACGTGAAAAAGAGAGACATAACAAAAAGAATGAGAGATATAGAAAGAGAAAGAGAGAGAGAGAGAGATAATGACGGACACATAGAGAGAGCGATATAAAACCTCAGAGACAGAGAAGGAGAGAGATCAAATTGCAAATGAGATGGTGAAACAGCAACGCCCCCCCTTTCTCCCCCATTTTCCCCCCTCCTCGTCTTCATTCCCCCCCTCCTTTAGGGTGAGGGGACAGGGACCAAACAATGAACCCTCCAAAACTGCTGGACCCCGCGCGGCCAATCCAAGCGCCAGCTTCCGCGCTGAGAGGAAGGCAGAGCCGGCGACGAAGGAGGAGGAGGAGGAGGAGGAGGAGGAGGAGTAAAAGGAGGAGGTAAAGGATGAGGAGGAGGAGGAGGACGACGACGACGAGGCGGAGGAGGAGAGAGGGGAGCAGGTGTCGCCTCCTTCCCCCCTCCCTCCCCCTCCCCCTCCCCGCCGGCTCCACGGGCTGGGGCGGGCGCCGCTGCCCAGCAGCGCCCCGACGCGGGCCGGGCCGTCCAGGCTGGAGCAGGGCTCCGGGCGCCTCGCGCGGGGCTCTGCCGCCGTCGCCGCCGCCGCCGCCGATCTCGGACCCCGCCGGCGCTGCCGTCGCCGTCGACGTCGTCGTCGATTGGTGGAGGTGTGATGGGACGCAGGTACGAGCGGAGCGCTGAATCCTTGTCGACTGAGGGCTGCGTAATCCCATCCCGTATGGAAAAAGGCCGCCAGGGGGAGGGAGGTGCCCATCCATGGCGCTTTGTTCTGCCTCGTCGCGTCCTCGCGGGCCGCCCCGCGGCTGGTGGAGGGGGGAGGTCCCGCGCGGTGAAGCGCGCGTCCGAACTAGCCGACCCGTGCCAAAACAGGAGGATGCGGGTCCGCCACCCCTAGAGGGGCAAGGCGGAGGGCAACAGCCCCAGGAACGCAGAGCCTCGAAGCCCGGCGAACTCCTGCATGCGCATCATGGCGGAGCCGCAGGGCCAAAGGAAAACCGGTCCTCGGGCATCTTGAGCAGCACGGGCAGGCGCCTCTAGTCCGAGCCAAGGAGGGCGAAGAGCGCCCCGTCCGCGGGCGGGTTCGACGAGAGGCTCAGGCGCTGCACGCGCGGCCAGGGCCGCGCACCCGCCAGCGGGCGGCGGGGCAGCCGCACCAGCAGCAGCAGCGGCGGGCTCCAGGGCGGGCGGCACCTCCGCAGGCGGCGCGGCCGCCCGCTCCAGTGCGTTCCAACGCCATGGCCTCCCGGACCACCGGCCGCGCAGGACGTGCCCCATCCGGCCAGCCGCAGAGGAGAGGGGAGGGGGGGAAGGGAGGAGAAGGAGGAGGAGGAGGAGGAGGAGGAGGAGGCAGGGGAGGAGGAGGAGGAAGAGGCGGAGGAGGAGGAGGAGGAGGAGGAGGGGGAGGAGGAGGAGGAGGAGGAGGAGGAGGAGGAGGAGGAGGAGGAAGAGGGAGCCGGGGAAAGGAGGAGGAGGACAACGAATCCCACCAGCTCTCTGGGCGTGAGTGGTCGAACGAGCTCGTTCTGCTAGCCCCATTTTTCCCCTTCGGGAAGCGGGTTCTCCCTCCAACTACCCTCTCACCCTGGGACCACCCCCCACGATGTGTCAGAGGGTCCTTGTTGGCCACAGGTGTCTCCACGAGGGCCCAGAGAGCCCAAGATGGCCTTCGAAATCGCCCAATATATCCGAAGATGGTTCAAGACTCCATTATACAAAGAGTCTTGAAGATCGCCCCATAACGGCCCCAAGTGCACTCCGAGCCTCCCAAGGAGACCTCCAAGAGGCGAAAATCATTCAAACCATAGTGGTCTCCAAATGTTTTGTCTTCTCGCCTTTTCGCTTCGGATGGGCTCTCGAGGCCTCAAGGTGGCTCCAAGATGGCCCAAGATGGCCCCAAACAGGGTCCAGGGCGCCCCAACAGGGCCCCAAGAGGCCAATGTTCTGGCAAAGACGCGTGGGGCGTACTTGAGTACCCCCCCTCCTTTGATCGATGGCTCCCCAGATGCGCCCAAAGGGGCCCCCAAGGCCTCCAAGGGGGCTCCAAGAGAATCCTAAGTGAGCCCCAAGAGCACCCTAAGACATCCCCACGGCATCCCCAAGAGGCCTCCAAAAGGGCCCCGACAGGGCCCCAAGATGTCTCCAAGACGCTCCCAGAGCAAAATCTCTGCAAAGGCCTTAATGGTTGACTCCTGTCGTCGTCGTCGTCGTCGTCGCCGTCGGCGTCGTCGTCGCCGTCGGCGGCGGCGGTGGCGGCGGTGGCGGCGTCGCCGTCGTTATCGCCGGCGCCATCCCACGTTTCCTGCGGCTGCCTTGGTTGAGTGGCTGCATGTCGTCCCTTCCTTCTCGCTAGATGAACAGCGCGCGCGTCGTCGGCGTTCGCGCACCCAAAAACAACGCTCGCACGGCGAGCTACGACGGGCAACCACTCCGCCAGAGTAGCGCCGGGCACGCACGACGCAACACAGGCACCGAAGGGAACGGCAGGCAACCACTCAACCAGGACGACGCGAAGCGTCAAGAATCCAACCAGCCCTTCGGGGGAAGATGGTCTGACGCATTCTTTCTTTCCTCTTCTGAAGACCTATTCCCTTCCGAAAGATTTCCCTCCCCCCCCCTCACCCTCCCTGAAATTTTTTGTTGAGGGGGGTCGCGACGCGCTAGGGCGCCCAAGATGGCCCAAGATGGCTTCAAGAAGGCCTCCGACGCTCCAAGATAGCCTTCAGGATGGCTCAAGATAGCCGACGACAGTTCAGCATCGCTTCCGACATACCTCCAAGAGGCCCGACAAGGGACACAAGACGGTTCCAAGCGCTCTCCGAGCCCCCCCGTCCGGACCCCCACAGGAGGCCAGAATCAGTCAAAAACAAAATGAAAATCAATGATGATTGCCTTTTCGCCTTTTCGCGTCCGAGACGCTCCTGAGGCCTCAAGATGGCCCCAAGATAGCCCAGGAGAGGCCCAAGAGGGGCCCCAAGAGGCCCGCCCCGCGGCCCCAAGAGGGCCCCAAGAGCGTCCCAAGAGGCGATTTTGATGGCCCCAAGGGGCGGGGCCAGAATCTAGGATCCCGCCCCCATTCGATCGATGGCCTCCAAGATGGCCCCAAAAGGCCCTCCGAGGCTCCCAAAGGACCCCAAAGAGGCCCCCAAGAGGTAGGTCCCCAAGAGGGTTCTAAGACCCCCCCTCCCAAACAAGAGCACCAACAGGACCCCAAGATGCCCCAAAAGAGTCCCAAAAGGGATCCAAGAGGCGATTGTGAGGGCTCTGTCCTCGTCCTCACTGTCTTTCTACTCATCCTCCTCTTCCTCCTCCTCCTCCTCCTCCTCCTCCTCCTCCTCCTCCTCCTCCTCCTCGTCCTCGTCCTCGTCCTCGTCCTCGTCCTCGGCCTGGCCCTATTCCTTTTAGAGTTCCCCTGCTTCCTCGTCGTCGTGGTGGTCGTCGTCGCCGTCGTCGTCGTCGTCATCCTCCCCCTCCTCCTCTTCCTCCTCCTTCTCCTCCTACTCCTCATCATTCCCTTCCCTCGCCTCTACGCGGATCCCATGGATGGCCCGAAGAGGCCATCCAACGCCAACCCACTTGCTCCCAGGGATCTCTCTGTTCACCCTGGCTGCCCGCTCTCTTTCACTACATGTGCCTCTTAGATGTTGTTTCCGTCAACTCTCATAGGCAAGGTGACCGAATGGGCTGGTGGAGGTATGCGAAGCGTGAAGAACTCGATTCGATTCGAGCAGCCGTGGCGACATATGCAAGCTAAGACCGTTTCCGACTTGAATCAAACACTGGGGGGGGAGACCCACCACTGTTAGGCTGCAGCCCGCGGCGCAATCGCCGTGACACCTCATTCCCGCCTTGAACAATATCTCGCATGTGCCTGCACATTCATTATAGCATCCTGCCCGCATCTGGTACGAAGCGAAGCGCCACGAGAAGAGGAGCGAAGAGCAAGCAGGAGGATGAGGAGGATGCGGAGGATGAGGATGATCAGCAGGAGGGAGACGATGGGGAGCAGGAGAAGAAGGAGAAGGAGGAAGTGGAGAGGGAGGAAAAAAGACGAGGGAAGAGAAGGAGGAAGATGAAGTGGAGAGGACGAAGAAGGAGGAGGAGGAAGTGGAGAGGGAAAGCAAGGAGGAGGAGGAGGAGGAGCGAAGAGGGAGCAGGAGGAGGATAAGGAGGAAAACGACGAGGAGAGGGAGAATGAGAAAAGGGATGAAAGCAAACAGGAAGCGGAGGAAGGGGCAGAAGGGAAGAGGGATAACTAGGGAGAGGGAGGAGAGCGAACGAACGAACGACCACCACTGCGGACAAGCGTCCTGGCCTAGCTCAGACCAGGTGGGTGAGGCCGTGGCCTCTGGATTCTGGCGTGTCTGGACATGTGCAACGCGAGATATATTTGAGGTCAGGAAGAGGAGGAGAGGACGAGGAGTAGGAGGAGGAAGTCCTTGGTGACGGTGTAGGCAAACGTGTCGTCGCGATCTCGCCCTGTTGGTCTTGGATGTTTGCTCGCGTGGGGTCGGTGTACTGGTGCTCGAGCGTCGTCCAGGTGGTGGTGTCTTGGGTTGTGCGCACCCATGTGATGTCGCTCGGCTGTCCTTTCGGATGGGTTTTTGTAGGCTGTCGGCATAGGTCAGTTCTGCATTGACGTGTGCTGATTTCGTCGTCCCAGCGCTTCTGTTCGCCACATTGCCATCTCTGTCTGCGATGGCGTGGATGGAGGTCTGGTCGCCACTGCAACACTCGCCATGTCCTCCTTGTTCGTGGCTTGAGACTCTTGAAGCCATTCGCCATGCCTTCCGCTTGTGCAGCATCACCCAGCTGTCGATGTGATGGAGCTTCATGAGATATTCTGCGCGTCGTGCTGCGCCTTGGGTGTGTTCGACCCAAGACTCCATCGGAGCTGCATTGGTGTTGTCTGTGTCTCCCTCGCCGAGCCGGTCAGGTGTACTAAATGCTTCGCGTTCCAGTGGGTTGTTGTGCGCGTCGTTGCTGATGCTGCTTGCGCAGTGGTCGTTGTCTGATGCTTTGTTGCGTGTGCCGTCGAAAGCCGAAGTTCCCCAGTTGCTGTCGAAATCTGCTTGGTTCGTCATGCGTCGTCGCGTTGCCCTGATGATCATGCGAAGCATGCGTCTCTGTGTCCGCCGCAAGTGTTACTGGACGGGCTGCGTGAGCGTCCACCTCTCTGCTCCGTATGATTCCGTCGGGCTTCCTATCGGAGTCGGTGTGCCAGTGGGCAGTGCTTACTGGTCAGCTCCTTCTTGCGAGGAGTAAAAGAATCCCATGCAACTGTTGTGCGGTGATGAATTGCCGTGTCCATCGTGTCGTGGAAGCTAACCAATTGGCCGGAGTACCTGAGACTGCGATACCCACATCTTGGATACGCATTGTGCGTGAGATCGCCCTTCCAGTCTGTCTCGTCCGGTTGCTTAGTATGTTGGTCTTCCTCCAGTACAGTTCGAGAACGTGCGGCTTTGCTGCGTGCATGATGTCGGCAAGCATCGTAGACAGACGTGGAAGAGCTTGGCTGGTACAGAGTACATCGTCTGTAAAGCGAAAGTTAGCGAGTGCGGCGGCGATGACGAATCCCAGTTCAACTACCTTGTTTTTGCTTGCCGTTTGGTGATCAGCGGCGAGAGGATGTGTTCTAGCAGGGTTTGAAAGAGTAGGGAGCTGAATGGGTCGCCCTGTTTCGTGCCCCACAGAAGATTGAAGGGCCTGCTGCTGACGTTCATCTTCATCCTGGACGTCCGTCCCTCGTAGGGCTGCTGGAATAATGAGACGTGTCCGGGTTGGACACCATGTGCCCTCGGTGCTTCACAGACGCCTTTGTGGGAGGAGAAGGAGAGCGAGCAGGGCGAGCAAGGACAAGAGAGGAGGAGGAGGACAAGAGAGGAGGAGGAGGACGACGAGGAGGAGGAGGGGGGAGGAGGAGGAGGAGGAGGAGGAGGAGGAGGAGGAGGACGACGACGACGACGACGAGGAGGAGGACGAGGAGGAGGAGGAGGGGGGACCTGGAGGCTCGCACGAGAAGCAGAGCGGCTTGGAAAGAAGCAGGTGCGAGTGACCGAGGGCACTTGTCCGAAGCGTGCGGCGCGTGCGCCTCTCTTTGAGGTACGCCGCCTCGATGAAGATGGACTGCCGCAGAGAAGCGACCATGTCCTGAGTCATGCTGCTCCCATCGTACTTAAGGACCACATCCCAGAAATAATCTCGAGCATCCAGGAAGGTATCGAAACGGTGTCGAACGAGTATCGCCTCCCAGGGCCCAACACGTCAAAACCCTCAAGTGTCGGTTCTTTCTTGGTGCTCGAAACTCTTTCTGGTGGTCAAGGCTCCAGTAGGTTGGAACATCGTAAGTCCTGCGGAGCATTCGCCTCCACATTGAGCGCGGCGCAAGCTGCTTGCAGCTGACTGGACAACAGCGCGACTGACAAAAGGACCTGCGACGTGCCATTTCGGAGCATGCGAAAGCGACGGCGGGGTTTCTTGCGGCGGTGTGGGCCCTTGCCGCGACGTGCTCCTGAGCCAAAAGGACTGATGGAGCCAGGTGGTGGGAGTGTGCCAAGAAGAGCAGCCTGGGCGGGAGACGCAACACGGCTGCAGTCACTGGTTAGCAGCCGGAGCGACGGTGAGGTCTGGTCAGCCTGCCCATCCCCCTCCTGGTCCTTCTCATCCTTCATCCTTTTTCACTGAAATATGCATAGTTGAATGACGATTCTTAGAAAAATAATACTAAGAAGAATAGGAGGAAGAAGAAGAAAAATAAAACTACTGATAAGAATGAGGCTAGTAGAAATAATAATAATACGAATACTAATAAGACTGGTAGTAGTCGTAATAATGATATGATAACTCCTCCTGGTCGCATCCCGAGACGTACCAGCAGGGCTGGCCAGGCGTTTCGCCTGGGACTTTCTCACCATATACGATCCAGAAGCTCAGAATTGCGACAAACTTGCAGATGGAGGGTGGGCCGTTTTCAAAATGAGACTCCTGCCTGTGCGCCACGCACATTTGTTCAAACTTTGCAGGAGCTTCACTATGGAGGGCGGCTCATTTTCGAGAAGTGGCTCTCTCGCCTTAGCGCCGCGCACATTCGTTTTAGAAGTTTACAGCAGCTTCAAAGTTTCTAATGCTTGACGTCCCAAGAACGGTGTGCTGGCGCGATTTCAAATTGACAGGGCGCAACAGTAGCGTTAGTTCGCGGTGTTCAACGGAAGACTCAGGAATGTTCTGGCACGTTCAGGATCGTGAGGACGCAACAATACCGTTAATTATCGATGCTGCAGTCCCGGGAATAGTCTTGTGGCAACGCTGAGGATTCTCAAACGGTTGTCTTCCATCGGGGCATTTCTCATAGTGGAAAATTCTGATATGGACCTACAAGAAGGAACGTGGAGGAAGGGTAGATTGCAACATTGTTGATGCGTCTGGGATTTGCACTGGTCCTGCTCCTCCTCCTCCTCCTCCTCCTCCTCCTCCTTCTCCTCCTCCTCCTCCGCCCTCCTCCTTCCCCTCATCCTCATCATCCTCATCCTCATCCTCATCCTCCTCCTCCTCCTCCTCCTCCCTCCTCCTCCGCCTCCCCCTCCTCTTCCTCCTCCTCCTCCTCCTCCTCCTCCTCCTCCTCCTCCTCCTCCTCCTCCTCCTCCTCCCCCTCATCTTCCGCCTCCTCCACCGCCGCCTCCTCCTCCTTGTCCCTCTCCTCCGCATCCTCCTTCCGCCGTCGTCGTGGGCGCATCCGTCGGTCGGGCGGGCAGGCAGGAGGGGCACGTCGTCGCCAACCTCGTCTTCGCCCTCGCCGTCGTCGTCGTGGTCGTCGCTGTCCGCGTCGTCGTCGTTCGCCAGCGTCGTCGCCGTAGCCGTCGCCGTCGTCGCCGTCGTGGGCGAGTCCGCTGATCGGGTGGGCTGTCGAGACACGTCGTCGTCGTGGGCGAGTCGATCGGGCGGGCGGGCGGTCGACTTCGCCGTCGTCGTCCTTACCGTCGTCGCCATCTTCGTCGTCGTCGTTTGCAGGCGCCGGGCATCGTCGCCATCGTGATCCTCGTCGTCGTTTGCAGGAGAGGGGGAGGGTATCGAACCCCCCCCCACACCGCCACCGTCAGTCTGGAACCTTCATCCTGGAGAAGAGAGGATGGGCGGGTTCGAACCCCCCCCCCGGGAGCTCTGAGGGGGGGTCGTTGCCCGTCCATCCGCCCACCCCCGCCTTCCTCCGAGCACACTCGGGAGACGCGCTGTCGGACACCTGCTCCCCTGGACCCTGCGGCTCTTCACCCGCGCCGCTGTCCATGAGCTGCGAAGTCTTGCCTGATGGGCCTGCTTTCCACCACCACCACCACCACCACCACCACCACAAGTTGGAGGGGGAAGGGGTCCTCATCCTCCTCCTCCTCCTCCTCCTCCGCCTCCTCCTCCTCCTCCTCCTCCCTCCTCCTCCTCCTCCTCCTCCTCCTCCTCCTCCTCCTCCTCCGCCTCCTCCCTCGCCTCCTCCTCCTCCTCCTCCTATCCTCCTCCTCCGCCTCCTCCTCCTCCTCCGCCTCCTCCGCCTCCTCCTCCTCCTCCTCCTCCTCCTCCTCCTCAACTCCTCCTCCTCCTCCTCCTCCTCCTCCCTCCTCCTCCTCCTCCTCCTCCTCCCTCCTCCTCCTCCTCCGCCTCCTCCGCCTCCTCCTCCTCCTCCTCCTCCTCCTCCGCCTCCTCCTCCTCCTCCTCCTCCTCCGCCTCCTCCTCCTCCTCCTCCTCCTCCTCCTCCTCCTCCTCCCCTCCCCTCCTCCTCCTCACTCCTCCTCCTCCTCCTCCACCTCCTCCTCCTCCTCCTCCTCCTCCTCCTCCTCCTCCTCCCCCCTCCAACTTATGGTGGTGGTGCTGGAAAACAGGCCCATCATTGCCCAGGGGCTTGCTCTGACGCAGCGCCGCTGCCATGCCTGCGGGCGCCCGGTCTCGGCCCGCGGACAGGCCCCGCGCGCCCAGGAGGCCGAGGCGTGTGGTGCCGCCGGCGCTGCCGGCGTCGGCGCCGCTGCCGTCGATCGCGCGACGCCGCCTCCGCCTGCACAGCAGTGGAGGCCCTCCGCGCTCGGAGCAGGCAGGGGATCCCGACGAGGAGGAGGGGGAAGGCGGAGGAGGAGGAGGAGGAGGAGGAGGAGGAGGAGGAGGAGGAGAAACAGGAGGAGGAGGAGGAGGAGGAGGAGGAGGAGGGGAGGGGGAGGGGGAGGGGGAGGAGAGGGGAGGGGAAGTGGGAGGGAGGAGAGGAGGAGGAGAGAGGAGGAGGAGGAGGAGGAGGAGGAGGAGGACGAGGAGAGTCGAGCCGCGACGAGTCGGACCGGCGATCGAAGCAAATCGGATCGGCAGAAGCCGGCGGCCAAGCCAGGAGAGGTCGAGCCGGCGGAAGTCGGCAGGCTAGAAGGGCCTCCGCGGAGAAACCGAGATCCGAATCGGAATCCGAGATCGAATCGAATCGGGATCGGAATCGATCGAAATGGAACCGAATCCGGTCGCAGGGATCGAAATGAGTTCTGGAGCGGGCGCCTCCTGCTTTGTGAGCATGCCGCCAAGGCCCCGACCCTTCGGTGGCAACTCATGGGAGCATACCATGCCATCTTGCGGGGTCTTGCGAATCGACGCTATCTGGCGCTAATCGACACTCATCGACGCTGAATCGACGCTAAACCGACGCTAGTCGACACTAAGTCGACACTAGTCGACGCTAAATCTGCGCTCCCTCATCGATTACCAAACGCTAGCACACGCTGATACAGTCGAAGGACGGAATTCCGAGGACATACAAGGGTGGTATGAATTAACAGGGGATACGTCGACCCCTATCACAGTCTTCGTGGAATTTTTCGAATGGACCAAAAATTGGGAGCCCAATCCTGGAATATACGAGGGGGAGCGTCTCTCCGCGACAGGGGTACGTCCGAGTAGCCCCCTGGGAGTGTATCTCGGAGTTTCCCTTCATTTCTTGGCCGCCTCATTTTTCGTCGAAAAGTCGGGGGCTGGGATAGAAACATCGCCTGCGATGAATTGCTTGCCCACGACCCTCCTGCGGGGGGAGACGCATGCGGACTGCGCCACTGGGACCTTCGGTGGAGCTCCCTCCGGGGCCACGAAATGTTGTACTGGGCGGGGGAGACGCATGCGAACTGTGCCACTGGGACCTTCGATGCAGCTCCCCATGGGGGCCATGAAACGCTGTACTGGGTGGGGGAACCGCATGCGAACTGCGCCACTGGGACCTTCGGCGGAGCTCCCTCTGGGGCCACGCAACGCTGTACTGGGCAGGGGAACCGCATGCGAACTGCGCCACTGGGACCTTCGGTGGAGCTCCCTCCGGGGCCACGAAACGCTGGACTGGGTGGGGGGGACGCATGCGGACTGCGCCACTGGGACCTTCGGTGGAGCTCCCTCCAGGGGCACGAAACGCTGTACTGTTCGGTGGGGATGCAAGCGGACTGCGCCACTGGAACCTTCGATGGAACTCCCCATGGGGGCCATGAAACGCTGTACTGACTGGGGGAACCGCATGCGGACTGCGCCACCGGGACCTTCTGTGGAGCTCCCTCTGGGGCCACGAAACGCTGTGTTGGGTGATGAGGTGATGACGGGACGATGGGATGATGGTAGGAGGAGGTGGTAGGAGGGAGGAGGAGAGGATGAGAGGTGGGACGCGGGACGCTGTCTCTTCAAAACAAGGACCCAACACCACAGGATGGTGGGGAAAGAAGCCAAAGAAATAGTCAGAAACGGTCAAAAAACACTGGTCGAACCATCGTCCCCAGATCATTTTTTTACGACTTTGGAGCCTTCCTCCTGCAGAGGGCCATGCCCGAACTCATCCCAGGTCCCCTCGCGCCACGCGCCGCGCCGCGCCGGCCGCGGAGCGCGGCCGCCTCGCCCCGCGCCCCCCGCGGAATGCACCGCGGACGGCCACGGTCCACGACAGCGAGCGAGGCCGACGGCCGCGCGCCCCCGAGCGGAGCCTTTGTTTCAGGGGCGGCCAAGAGGCGGGCGTCCAGGGAGGGGGGGCGCAAGTCATGGCCGGCGGCACGTGCGCGGCCCAGGGGCAGGGCCAGGGACGCGATGAAATAAGAAGAGGCGCCATGAAATCCGAGGAGATCTCATGGCCCCCGCCATGATATCCACCCCCCCCTTGATCATCAACCCCCCTCTTTGCCGCCCCCGAGCGGCGCCCTTTTCTTCGTCCTGCCACTCTCCTTTCGGCCGGGGAGGGGAGCCAACGTCTCGGAGTCTTGGGCCGAAGAGGGGGGCGGGGACCTCGGCAGCACGGGTGAAACCCAGGCAGGCAGCGAGGCGAATTCACAGGGGCGCGGGGCGGGCTCGAGAGAGCAGACCGCGCCGGGCGCTGCGTGAGACCAGCTGACAGAGGGATACTGCGTCCACGAGGGCTGATTCGCCGACGGGCACCGAACAAGCAGGCGAGGGGAGGGGAGAGGGAGGCTCATCCCTCCCCAATTCCTTCCCTTCCTCGTCCTCCTTCGCCTCGATCCCTCCCCCTCGGAAGCAGCTCCTCCCCCTCGCG